CGGTCGGAGCGTAAGGCTGGCAAACTCACCGCCATCTGTGAGCCGACTGTCTAGGGAAAATGTGGCAGCCTCGATGTCCCACAACCCTATGGGCCTTCACGTCCTGTTACAGGGATATATATATATATATATTTTTTTTTGCTTTATATCTTGGCACACAGGTTAATAAGAGTATATTTCCCCGACAAGTTTTCTCTCAAGAAGAATACCATCTTCTGGGGTGTAATGCCGTCTAGATCGATAGACGACAATAGTTTTCTTACTCCGTGCTCCTATTGGTTCTCTGTGAGCTCCTTCACAGGCTTGTATCTGAACCAAGCTTTTACAAGCGAGGCTTAGGGCGGCCGCACACCAACTGCGTCAAGACAAGCATCAAGACTTGAGACAAAAGACGCAGTCTTTCTTCATTAGTGATTCGTCAGCATGAAGCTGACGTCAGCATCATGACTCAGACCGTTGTGCGGCGATTTTCATAATCTCATTCGTTTCAACTGTACTCCTTTCTTTGAGTCACGTCGCAGACATCGTGTCTTGACTGTTACATGTCTTGACGCATGCCGGTGTGCGGCCTACCTTATTCTGCTTGGTGGTGGTTGTTTATTTGGATTACTGCCTGGAGATGCAGGCAGTACACTCTTCTGAAACGTCGGCAATATTAAACCAGACTACACAGTGCCGTATCCCAGATATTAATATTTTTCATAGTCGCAGCTACGAGAACCTCAAATCCATTCGCCTGTTGGTGTGCTCGCGGTTCTTTCCAAACCTCACGCCTCTAGAGGCAGTTGCAGTTATAAAACGTTGTTTATATCGTAGCTCAGAAGTGGTATTCAGTTCAATAACCGAAATGTGTTTCGCTGTAATGACTTTGGGATATCTGTTATGTCAGTACTAGATTCTGAGACGGGACAGTCTCGTATCACGGTACTCTTCTTTACCGCAGGAGCATTAATCTGAATATGGGGAATTTCTGTGTCCAAAACGGAACTGCATTCGTCAGATCCTTCTCATTTGCTCTTGGTTGGCCCGGACGTGTTATCCTATAAACATTTTATATAACTTTAAATATATATCATGACTGATACATACCCCGAACCTTACATATCGCTTCCACCAAACTTTTTTCTACCGGCAGAGTAATTAAGCTAGGCCAGTTCATTACATTCCCCATTCTTCCTGTCTTTTACGGTCATTTAACAAAGCTGCCGGTATCTAGACTACAGGATCTATAACGCCGAATGGTGGGATGACTGGTGAATGAAGAACTGGAAGGGTTTTGGAAGGAAGCGAAGGGGTTGTAAAAAAACACAAAAACCTCGGTCAAGTTAGCCTTAACCCCTGCCGAAATTCGAACCGAGCACTTCCAAAATACACGGCTACAGCTTGATAGTTGCCCGCTTCCCTAATTCAAATTTAACTTCCCAGTTGATACAGTATAACGTATGAAGATAAGAGAGTTTCTGTAAGTAAATTAGGAAACAATTCGCAACATTCAGCATGTTTAAAATTTGTTAACCAGGACAATTTGTAATAATAGGCTATGGTAACACTGCGTGGCATTGTACAAGTTCCTCTACGCATCCATCTTGACGTTAAGCCACTCTGGCGTGACGGCAATTCAGTTACACCAAGTCGTGTGTTATTACATTATTAAAGAGAAGATATTTTTAACAAATGGCATTGTAAGGAGATCGATTCTTATCTATTGATCCTCCGTAGGCCCTCACGGGCCTTCGAGTAGCGTGTTAAATTATGAAGAGGATATGCGTGTACAGCATTTAAACTCCTCATGATACGTCATGAATTCAAAATTCGCTCAAAGGCTGTGCCATATGCAGCACGAGACTCAAACACAAAGAATCCCTTAACATCTAACGTCAGGCCATGTTTTCTGTTCGGGTCACTTACAGACTATATCTTCCTGGGTCTTACTTTTATGTGTTATTTGCACATTGTGCTTGAAGAACAGTGTAAAGTATGGCCATGTTTGTCTGTTTGCCTGTTCTTATGTCTCTTCCTCCGCATGCTACAAGTCGGGAATCGGTGGACGGATTTTGATGAAATTTCGTATGAGCTTTACGCCATTATCCGCGACCCAAACTTGTCCTTCGTAATTTCCTACAATCAGCAATAACATTATGGCGAATCACTCTGTGCGACCCGTGTCATATATAGCTCTTCCCATAACTTCTTGTTAAAATATATACTGGAGGTGGACAAAATAATGAAAACACAGAAATTGAGAAATAGAATCTGTTTGTGTTGGCTACATCGAAAGAACTTCAGTTGGAAACATTGAATGTTCTTCTTCTGTTTATTTGCAGTCTATAGTGTTCGTGTCAGTACATATGTGATTGTGCTGAAAGACAGTCCGTGAGAAAAAATCTGAAAATGAGAGACTTTTCCGATTTTGTAAAAGTACAGATCGTTGATGCCCATTTAACTCGAGCATCTGTGACAAAATCTGTCACATTATTACGTTTATGGAGAGCTAGAGTTCCTAAGGTTATATTGGCATCTACGAATCATGGGAAGACAATAGCATCAGCGAAGAGGAACAGTGGACGAAAATCAACATTGACAAAAGGAGTTCGTCGTACGCTGAGAAGGATTGTTCGGGAATTTACACAACTACTGCAGCACAGGTGACAGGACACAAGAACTGAATATTCATATTGTAGACCATATTTCCAAACAAACTGTCCTACGTGAGAAATCCAGCATCAGCGGTAGGCCTGCAATTGCTGAACGGCTGATTATTAAAATTAATGCTCCGATTCGTAAAGGATGGTGTCACGATCATAAAACCTGAACATTAGACAACCGGAAACACACGCGTGATATGGTCAGGTGCGTCGTCCCTCACGGTGTTCCCTACATCAGAAAGAGTTTACCTTTAAAGTACATCCAAGGAAGCCTACAATCCGGAGTGCCTGGGTCCAACAGCGAAACACGGTGGAGATTCTACGATAGTTTGGTCAGCAATATCGTGGTACAGTATTCTGTTGCTCCCATTGTTACACTTCATGACCGAATTATTGTAAGGGAGTAGGTACATGGACATACTGGATAATCAGGTACATCTCATGATCCAGACGTTATTTCCGAACAACGATGCAGTTTTTCAATACTACATTGCACCCCATTCACACATCTGGAATTATTCAGTCATGGTTTGGAGAGCATGAAGGTGAACTTCAACATCTTCCCTGGCCAGAACAGTCACCAGATTTGAATATCATAGAACATCTCTGTGGTCAGTTTTGGAGACTAAAGTAAGGAGCAGATTCCCACGTTCAACACTTCTGAAGAGACTTGAATATATTCTTCAAGTAGAATGGCAGAAAATTCCGCTAGAGGCTATGCAAAACTTGTACGAGTCCATTTCAGGAAGGACTGCGGCTGTATTGGAGGCAAAAGTTTGTCCAAACCCATATTAAAAAGGAAATATGTGCAGTATATGTAGCATTTACATTATTTTGTCCAACCCCTGTATTTTAGGTATACCTAAATCTGAAAAATTATTTAAAGAATGCCGTCAAAGTGTGTGTGTTTGTTTGCATTTTGGCATTAAACATTCAATATAGTCTACAGATGACGTTTTTCAATTTTTACATCATACACAAGCGACTTACGAATGCAAATCTAGTACCTGTAAAATTAAGAACTCTTAGGCTTAACATGAGAGTACAAAATGGTGATATCGTATATCCCCTCAATGTATTTGGCAGTTTCATTCATTAGACATAACAGAATGTAAAGTAAAACCCAAAATAATATTTCCCAAAATTAGATGTAAGTTATAGGTATATAGATGATATATAATATTTCTGAACGCACAACAACTGATCTAAACTTGTATGATAACTTTCGCACCGTTTATTGGAAATTCTTCTTCAACCCATGTTTATTATACATTTCTGTATTCTCAGTCGTTATCGCATTATCAACAAATTAACTCTTTCCGTGTGCAATTATGCTCACTCTTCTACTCATGTTTTAGAAAATTATTTATTAAGAAAACTTGGACTTTCATATGCTCAAGCAGTTGGATTAACAATTTCTAGTATTCTGCGCTCCCGGTAAAGTATTCATTAATATGCAGCGTTAATGATCACTGTCTAAAATATCGGGAAATAACCATCACCTCCAGTTTTATTGCACACCGGGTTTTAAGTCTCACACGTTATATAACATGTTTTAAAATCAACAGATTTTTATTCCTTTATATCCAAATAATAAAAATGTTCTTACCCTCTGGTAAATCCACTCGTCAGATGATTTTGTGGGTTCTGCCAAGTTCCATGTGAACTTCGTAGGCGCTGATTTTGTGTTGTTGTTGTTATCGTTATTTTTATCTAATAATGCTGTTGTTGGAATATCGAGACGTGCTTGGGGCCCAGAAGAAGATCTACTCGTAATAACACCCCCACCATCTGTCACACCCGAGACTGCAGTACCCCTATGTTTGTTTCTTTCAGACGAATTTTGGGAAGTCGGAACACCAGCTTTAACATCACTCCATTTCGTCTTGAGAGGAGCGATATCACGTTCATGTAAATGTTCGTTGGGAATTTTATGATTAACTTCATCACTGTTACGATTATTACTTAAAGGAATACCAAGGGAATCAAAAGTCTGTTCAAGGTCCTGAATATCTTTGAGTTCATCGTCGTTGTGGAGACTAGTGGCATCAAGCAAACCATCGGGATCTTGACGCACCTTCCCCACTTCAGCTCCCGTCTCTGTAACAATTTTCTCGATGGTTGCTTGTCGCACTGGCCGACGTACTTCCTTCGTGATGACCACATCAGTAGAATCAAAGTCTCCAGTGACAGGATCGGGCAATGTCTCTATTACCACCTGGTTGTGACTGCTTCCTGTCCCCATTACAACAGCCAGGTACGGCAGTTCACAGCCGACTGGAGAACAATCGAGGATTAGACTGCCGGACAGTCTAGTGTTTCGGACGGTTCAGTGTATTGATTCGAATCCACCATGTTACTACTCACAATAGGTCCTGCTTACTTTACGTGACCCAACCAGTCACCGATAGTATTAGAAGGGTCGCGGTGAGGGTCATGGGCGCATGAAGGAAGGGCCAAACCAGGCATCTGCCCACCCCCTGGTATTTTGGAAAAAAATCAAAATTGAAGAGACTATGGAAATATTGCACATATTAATAATAAAAATTAAAAGTATTTTTACACAAATTATTCTATCCTGAATACTCAAGGTTCGTGTCTGACAATTGGTGTTCCACTAATTTTTACAAGGAATTGTATATTCCCACATTGTATTTAGAAAAGAGCGATATGTAAAGTTAAATTATTAAAGCTTAAATGCTTATTATGCTTTCAGTTTGCGCCTGTTATATTTTTATAGTAACCGTATACTGTAACCCTTATATTGTTACTGATATACACACAGTTCTTAACATAGTTTGATCATGAGTTCATGAAAAGCTCAGTCTCTCCCAAGTACCTCTCGTGACTAGCTGGGATCCAGCATCATTTCCCGGAAGTTAAGAGGTCACGTGTGATATTAAATGGTTCTTTTCAACAAAATTGGCATCCATTCCATTATCTCTTCATTCTTCTTGAATTTTCATGAACATATTCCTGTGGCTTATTGTAGGGTAGTTCTGTCTTTCCAAGCAAAGCTTGAACGATGGCAAATTATCTCCATCATAACAATTTGTTTCATTGCCTCATGAATTTACTTTCCTACCATCCAGTACAATTTCTCAGCTTGATTGCATATACATAATTTCCCCCCTTCATTGTTACCAATTTATATACAACTCTGCATGTTGTTGGGTTGTGAATTTGTGACTGTACTTCCTATTTGAAGACCGCTTTGTGATCTAANTCACGTGTGATATTAAATGGTTCTTTTCAACAAAATTGGCATCCATTCCATTATCTCTTCATTCTTCTTGAATTTTCATGAACATATTCCTGTGGCTTATTGTAGGGTAGTTCTGTCTTTCCAAGCAAAGCTTGAACGATGGCAAATTATCTCCATCATAACAATTTGTTTCATTGCCTCATGAATTTACTTTCCTACCATCCAGTACAATTTCTCAGCTTGATTGCATATACATAATTTCCCCCCTTCATTGTTACCAATTTATATACAACTCTGCATGTTGTTGGGTTGTGAATTTGTGACTGTACTTCCTATTTGAAGACCGCCTTTGTGATCTAATGGCCAGAGTTCCTGGCTACAGATCCAGAGATCCGGGTTCGATTCCTGGAGCTACAGTATTTTTTCTGAGAAGTAGTGGGTCTGGAACGGGATCCATTCAGCCTCGTCATGGTAACTGAGGAGTTGTTTCAAGGAAATAGCTGTTCCGGTCTAGAAAACCGAAATTAACGGCCATGGGGATTCGTTGCGCTGACCACGCGACACCCTCTGTCCGCAAAAGTTGGCACTAAAACTTCGCCGACAAGCGGCGGTCGTTCGGTCTGTATAGTTCGCTTGCGGACTAAAGCCACAGAGTTTCCTTCCTATTTGAAGTACTGTTGGTCCAAGGGTGCTGAGGTTTCGGAGTTGGCGGCTGGTGCAGCAGGAGTTGCTGCCACCGCGACGTATACGTCTTCCCTGAGGTGATGAGCTTTGACGCTGCACAGCGCTGCGTTTGTATCAGAGGCCCGGGATGCTCTTGCGTCCATTTCTGCCCCTATGCGGCACAACTACATCTTCTGTAGGTGCTGGGATGAGGAGTATGTTGGTGACGATGACCATCCCCACACAAGAGATATCTTGGTGTCTGCTTGTAGTGGGCCCATATGTGGCCGAAGCACTAGCATAAACAAAATTCCGTGAGATTTATTTTTAGGATATATATTATGTTTTTTTTTCTGCAAGCTTAATAGTTCCGGATGGTGATATTTGTGGAAATGAACCCTCAAGATGGGCGACTTAAAATAAAAACGGAGGCAAATTTGAAACCATTTCGACAATTCGATTTAAATTTGGATATATAGACAGTATATACGAGTGTAGGGAAGGATATGCTTACGTTGAAGATAAATCTGATCATGGTATATTATTTTATTTTAAATAGAGAATTGTACGAATGCAGTGTGTTTAATTAAGCGAAATAGCAAAGTGTGTTCATAATTTCCAATATGTAATATGTTTCTGGTTTAGAAGGGATTCGATACTTCCACAGACCTCGTTTTTTCGTTAGATATATAAATACGAAGTCTACAGTCGTATGTTCTAGTGACTGTGATCACGATGCAAATATATTTGGGGATTGATCGAAAGGAAGAAAGTGACAACACCATACAGTAAAGACGACAATATGCGATTCTCGTTCGTGTGTGAAACGGTCTATAGATGTGTCCAACAGTGAATAATTTTGAATAGCTTTAACCCAAAATACATTACGTACAGGAGACATACCCGAGCAACCGCAGGTGAATGTTGTGGCGGAGTCCCAGTGATGTGCCGGAGTGCAGAGTAACAATACGTGTGGATTTGTTGCGAGACTGCAGGGAATTGAACACAATTCAGAAATTGCTGAAGCAGAAAGGAACCAGGTTATTTATGGAAAAAATATTAACGTTTGGAGAATTGAATATTTCCCATGTGTTCAAAATTGATTTCTTTCGAAGAATGTAATTGTTAGGAAATTGTCGAAAATATTTGGGACTTGAAAACTTGTGGAACATAAAAAATTGTAATATTGGAGCATGTGAAAACTGTGTGAAGTAGGGTCCTACCAGTCCTTGGAGCAGGGTACGTTATACTATGTGTAGGCAGCCCTGTGGTTGAAAATTTCGGTGTTTTCAACGAGGTATCCCGTGTGGTGCTTTTAGGGATCAGAGTTGAGAAGCAGAGACCTCTATAGAAAACAAGGAAGCTGCGAATCCTCTTAGAATTAACTTTGAGAAGAACTCTGAGATCATCTCATCAGATGACTGATGAGGCCCACGTGGGCCTTCATGGCAAATTCTTCGCAAGTGACAGACCGTTTTCTCCCATGTCCCAAGATGAACATTATTCTGTTCTTCATTATGGCAGCTGGGCTAAGCTGACGGACGTACAGCCTGGCATTCGTGGCCTCTGCTTTCAAGTTTGTTTTTTTTTTCTGCGGTCTTCCTGTATTTCTTGGCTGGTCGGTTAAATTTTCTGTCCTTCTTCCTTCTCCTCCTACACATTCTGCAGTGTATTCTGCCTTCGGTGCAATCAGGTGCGCTTCGCTCATCTGATTATTGAGATATCCATTCTGGCTGCATCGCCTTATTGGTATTTCCATGTCTGAAGAGCGTGGGAGTCCAAACCTAATTGTTCACAAAATTGACCTTTATTACTTTCCGCATTCCAGGTACTTGGCCTTATTCCCTCTTTCCTGTTTTCTTTGTTATAAATTCAGACACAGGTAGAAAAATTAATAATGCAGGTATACAGTTTTTAAACATTAATGGGAAGTTAACTGATAATCATGATGTAAGTACAGATGTTTTAATAATAATTTTTGAACAATAGCTGACAAGAACAATAGCAATGATGCAAACGTTGGCCACATTGTAGAGTCAGATGCTGGCAAATAGTCAAATTATCCGTCTCGAGCTTTCACGATTCCCTTTCCAAAAATTAAAGTGAACCATACCTCTACTAAAGAAAATGAAAATATAATTAAGTATTTAAAACCAAAAAAATGTAGTGGGTACGATGAAATTCAGCTTTGAAAATCAGCACGCCTTTCATTAGCTCCCCATTAACATTATATATGAGACAAACACCGTCTTAAGTGTAACAATTTAATTGTAGTTCTTTCTTCTTTCCCTCCTCCACACTACATGTTTCGGCCCTAAATGGCCATCATCCGGTGTGTATTCTTACGTAGCTGTTACACTGCCTGTTAAAATTTAAAATCACCAGTCTTTCTAATTGTATAAAATCTTTGTTAACCTACACGTGTTAATTTGATTCATAAATTTAGCACTTCTTTAAAACTTTAATTCAAGTTTAAATGTCTATAAGATTTCTGTTCTTTTTCTTTTTCAAATTTTGAAATTAAAATTTTCTCAGGGTACATGCCCTATGTCTATAATGCTGCAGCATAGTAAAGTAGTAAAGAATAACAGCGGCACGCACACAGCAAGACTACACAGGATAACACCTATACAGTGTGGGAACAAGAACTA